CGGATCCACCGCCGCGGGATGTAGCCCCCTCCCCCTGCCCCCGCGGATGGATCTGGTGCTCCTACCGCCAGATCTGACCGGAGTGCACTAGCGACGACGTGGACGATGGCGGAGGGACGACGACTGGAGGCGCTAGCAATGGGAGGCCGCGAGGTTATTGGCTTGCTGTGGCCGGTAGGAGGCACAGGAGATGACGGGAGGAGCGGGTGACGACTCCAGCTGCCCAACGGGAGGCGCCGACGACAACAGTGGTCGGCTGATGGGAGGCGTGGGCAACAGCAGCGGTTCACCGGAGGGAGGTGCGACTGGTGCCGGCGGACGATGGCGCGACACAACGAGGAGCGGCTGGAGGCGGTGGTGGAGCTCCTGGTATCAGCGCATGCGAGCGGCAGTGGTGGTTGCACTCTCGGTAGTTGTTGGGGGTGGTTGCGGTCGGTGAAGCGATGGCCGATGTAGGTCGCACCGGGGGCTATGAGGCCAACCCGGCAACGGGCTAACCGCTGGTGCGCAGCGGTGGAGAGGTTGCCGTGATGGGAGGACGGAGGCGACGGTGATGCGACTAGGCAGCTGGTTGTGAACACGAGCAGCCTGGTCGAGGCGGCGACAACGGTAGCGCCATGAGGGGTATGTTGAAGCCTGCAACGAGCTTCCTTTCCAATCGTTTGTCCTTTTGCAGCGCTGGCTTGCCACCGTAAGATGGCCACGCTGGACGGGCTAGTGCAGGGCAGAGGGGATCCTTCTCTCTCACCATTTTCTATCTCCAACCCAACAACACGGATGGAGTTGAAGCGCGATGGGTGTTGAGATTCTTCTTAGATGGCTGGCCAACGGCGAGGTGTCGGCGCAGTGGCTGTGCATCGAAGGTGGATTAGCGGGTGGTTTTGCTGAAGCTGACATGCACTCTTTGGCGCGGGAGAGTATAACAATGGGTGAAGGCCTAGCCTTCGGGCCGGCAATGGCGATGACTGTGGGCGCGTTTTCCCCTTGGGGTGTTGTCGTGTTTTCTGTCCTCTCCCATGGGTTCTTCAGGTGAAAACTGTTAACGGTCGTTATCGATCAGTTTCGACCATCAATATTACCAAAACAGGAGAGAACTAGTGATGCTTGCAATGCATAAATATGTTAGAATAATAATATTCCACTAGTACAGGTCTACTGACCTTTTGCAAAGAATGATCATAAAGTGGAGGAGAATCGACATCAACACCAACGATAAATCAATCAGACGATGTCGAGGATCAGACTTATGTATGAATGGGCCAAGAACACAGAATTGACACGATGAATTGGGCCAAAATTCACAAGTCTGCGGAGTGGAGCAATAGAGGAGGCCACCAGCCGAAATTGGGCTGGATTGGGCCAGCCCCGGGTTCGGCTGAACCTGGTGGTTTGGCCGAACCAATCCTGGCGCCGTTGGATCCAGGTTTTGGCGTGGACGTCCAGGATTGCATCCCAATGACGGTTGGAGGGTACTTCGGACAATTCCCCTTCCACAACCGCCATACCTACCTCTATATAAGGAGCTCACTCTCTTCACTTCAACACACACCTCAAGCAAGAGCTCTCTCATTCCTCTTAAGTTTAGTTTAGTAGTATCTAGCTGGTGGAATAGAATTAGAATAGGAATCAGGAGTCCGGAAGTCTTCGAAAGAGTTCAGGTATGGCTCTAGTAGCTTTCCTTTCCTCTTTTGTAAGCTTTGTACTTTTATTAGAATACTCTTCTAAATACATTTCTGGTATTGAAATACTTTCCGAGTATATGAGTACCAACTTTACATTATGTTCTTGTTATACTGAATATACGGCTAGTTTATCTGGGAGATGCTTTGGTGCGGGTATAATGTTTCTTTATGCAATTACTCTTTGTCATGACGATGGTATTAGAGTAGTATCTAGTAGTTTAGGCGTGGTGTCTAGATTACGGGATATCATTATTTGGGGTTATATATTGCGGATGAGAGGTGGGCCGCTGATGGTGACAGCTTAGTACGGGTATTCCTCCGCGCCTATATATAATCCTAAGTTAATTTCCTAGGGGGGTATTCCTCTGTATTTAGCCCCGGTTGGATGGCCATGACGGGCTGTCGTAAGGAACTCGGCAGTCAGGGGTGGCTTCTCGAAGTACCAGGAGAGCATCGGATATAGGGTATTAGCTAGTATATCAATTAACTAGAATGTATGTATACTATGTATATTAGAAGTATAGGAATTGATTCTCTTTCTCTTTTCTTTCCACCTAGCTTAGATTATTTATTATAAGGATGAGTAGAAATGCTTGTGTGCCACTCTACCCTTGGATTATCTTAACCCCTGCTTAGAATATGATTATCACATGTAATATATAAATTATTAGTTGAGTTCTCTCTACATGATCTTCCCATGGGATAAAATAAATATGATACCCTTGGAATACTCTCGGGTGAAATGCTACAATGGTATATCCGTGCGCTTGCGGATGAACTCTGTAACCATAATATACCAGAAGTATTTCTGCGCCATTGCTGGGAATTATATTTCTAGTAATGTCGTTAAGAAATACCAACAAAAACCACGTCCTGGATCTCTAGGACAGGCGGTGACGAAGCTATTGGCATCGTTTCCTCCTTGGAGGCGTCGTTTAGAAGACTTATTTCTTAGGGGTATTGTGTGCTTGTCCTGTATTTAGCAGTAAGATCAGACATAGACGAGTGGTGTGGATGCATATTTTCTTTTTTCTTACTATAGTCTTCCAAGATTATAGACTTGTGTTTTATTCCTACTTTATTAATATAAATGTCGCACTATCTTGTATGGGTTGTTTTAAAAAAATATATATGGATTATCTTCTGTTCTTCTATTTGAGTGGATTGTCTATACATTTGTCAACAAATTTTCTTCTAAAATTTTGTCAGATGTAAATATAGTATAACAATACTATAATTACATTCTAACTAACTTACATGTAATAACTACAGTGTAACTGATATTATAACTTTCGCGTAATTTTGAAATCGTTAGATTTGCTTTAAGATTGGTGCAAGCTGAGAAGATATATAAAAGTCGCAACGCACACAAGTGAGGGGATTTGGTCTCGTGACCTCCGCTTCATGAAAATAGCAATGTTATCGTAAGATTTTTGAAAGTTGCATACAAATTATACTGTGTTATATGCAAGTTACAATGTACGTAATTACACTACCATTACACTATATTTACATTTGTAAAAAAAATTGGAGAATTTGTTGATAAATGTATAGCAAAACTGCTATTTGAGATATACATGAAACATCAAAATGAATTTTGAGATCAAGAAAATATGGTAGATTGGATTTGAAAGAGGATTAGATGGAAAGAACTAACCCTAACAGGTTGCAGCGACATCAGAGGAATTTAGAAGGGTAATCAACAACGTACTGGTACAGCTAGCCTTTATACTAGAGGACAACAAATATGCTGGGATAGTCGTTGTGGGTTGGTTCGGCCTTTTGATCAGGCCGATTAGACGGAAGCGGCCGGGGAGATTATCGGAGGTGACGGGAATTTTACGTTCTGGAATGATTAACGAAGGACGCCGTTTTGCAAAAACGTGACCGGCTTATCACCATCAACGTTTCAATGGCTGTATCAAGCGTTTTCCACAACACTGTATGTAATCAGTGGGAGTACGTTTTAGACGTGCTGGTGCTACCGAAATTGCGACTGCTACCATCCCGGCTGTACGTCTTTGATAGTCATCTTTAATTCAATTTATAGCCCGTATGTCTACGTCGTAATTAATTCATGAAAATCGATCGGTTTTTTTGAACCATGAGCTTTCGATCCAGGCACATGGAAATATAAAAGGAAAGGATCCGGTCGATCGAAGTTTTCGATATAACTTCATGTCGTTCATGTGAATATATAATCATAAATCACGTACAGCAAAGTCCTTTCATAAATTTATGTCATGATAACTGCACATAAGGTGTAGTTTAGACATGCAAAACTTTAGTATACAAATAGATTGCCATTTTTGTTTGCTTTATTATTTTAACACCCTGATTTTATCTAAATGTATTTATAGTTACATGGATCATATTTTTGTGTGCTCAGTGTTTTTTTTATTACTTTAGTGTAATTGATTGAGTTCAATAAAAGCTTTCTAGGTTTCTGAACTGTTACAATATATTTTTCTGGTCTCTGAACTTATCATGAGTGTTATATAGGACCAAACGGGCTCCAAGCCATTCTATACGCTAACGCACACAGACAGTAATATCTATCAAATGTGAACTTCTATTTTTTTCCCATTAGAGGGATGCCGTCATATATATTTTTAGCTCTAAAATACAATACAAATAGTATTGAAAATCTGTAAAAATTTATAGATAGTATTAACATCTACCACTCGAAAAAAATAAAGTCTAAGAAGGGCCAATCTACAACATCAGAACCTAAAAGATAAGCGAACTTTTACCATTCTTGAGAAGGTACCACCACTCCACCCGGTGCTAGATACCAAGAAGTACCTTTTAGGGCATTGGCACCGAATGCGGTGATGAGCTGGCATAAGGCCAGATTTGAGGCGTCTCAATTCATTCTTGATTTGCAGCCGCAGCGAGGTACACTTGAGGCTGTGGTGGATAAACCGATAGAAGCAAGGGTATATGCGAAAGTTCAATTTTACCCTCTCACCCACAACACCTCCTCTCTCGGGAGAGCAGTACCACCCGGTACAAAGCAATTCTAGCTCTTAGATTGTACGAGATGGATGGTCTAGATTAGTACCATCTCCACTCAAGGATGATAAAAACTCTCAAAAGATAAATACATTACATGTACTTGGTCGTATCATTTTCATTTCTCAATGTGCGCATTGATTTAATTTAGGCTTCCATTTTTAGATAGTAGATACGTACTCCCTCCGTTTTTTAATAGATGACGCCGTTGACTTTTGAACATATATTTGACCATTCGTTTTATTAAAAAATTATATACAAATGTATAAGATATAAATTATGCTTAAAGTACTTTGAGTGATAAAACAACTCACAACAAAATAAATTATAATTATGGTTTTTTTTAATAAAACGAATGGTCAAACGTGTGAAAAAAAAGTATATTGTATCGATGATCAATTTTGAAAAAAAGAAGATTGTAACTATATATTTAGATCTACTTTTAGAAAATGAAAGAACGAATTAACCACGTAGTGTGGTCCATTAATCTGCACCATCTAGGCATCTATTGGTCCTCTCCAGTCTCCAGGACTCAGCTAGGAAGGAAAGAACAGAGCCAGATACCCAGCAAACAGGAGGCAACAAAACAATTTGCTGGAGTACGAGTCATTCGGCCACAAGCCCACAACATGACGCTAGGGCCACTAATTCACCCCGTGACCGTCCTAGAGCAATGCCATGTCTCGCCATCTCCGGCGCCGGCGGCCGGCCAGCCACGGTCGCTGCCGCTCACGTTCTTCGACCTCGTCTTCTTGGACTTCCCGCCCGTGCAGCGCCTCTTCTTCTACGACAACGCCGACCTCCGCGACGCCCATGACTTCCTCCTCCGCGAGCTTCCCCTCTTCAGGGAGTCCCTGGCCGCTGCCCTGCACCATTTCTACCCCTTGGTCGGGAAGCTGCCGTGCGGGATACGGGAGCGCATGTCGCCGCCGGAGGTCGCGTACTCGGATGGCTACTCCGTCTGCCTGACCGTCGCCGTCAGCAGCGACGACTTCCAGGACCTCGCCGGCGACCACCCGCGCGACACCGCGAGGCTACGCCCGCTGCTGCCTCCGCTGCCCAAGCATGGTAGCTCGCAGGACGTGCTCGCCGTCCAGGTCACCGTGTTCCCTCGCGCCGGCATCTGCGTCGGCACGACGCTGCACCACGCCGTGGCCGACGGTTCCAGCTACGTGCACTTCCTCAAGACGTGGGCCGCCATTCACCGCCTCGGCGACGAGCGCAGGAAAGCGGTGGTGGTGGACCACACGCCGCCGCTGTTCGACCGTGGCGTCGTGCAGGACGGCGACGGACTCCGGGAGGCGTTTATCCGCGACCACCGGGATCTCGTGGAGTCCGGTGACAAGCGGCTCGACGACTGGGACCTCAGCCGGAGGCCGGACACCGTGCTCGCGACGTTCAGGTTCACGGACGAGCTGCTCCGCAAGCTGGGGAGGCATGTCGAGGCGGAGACCTCGGCGCGGTGCTCGCCCTACGCGCTGGCGTGCGGCGCCGCGTGGGCCGGCATCGTGCGCGCGCGAGGCGTGGGCGGCGGCGACGTCGCGCGGTTCGGGTTCGTGACCGGGTGCAAGCCCCGCGTGAGCCCGCCGATACCGTCGAGCTACTTCGGCAACTGCCTGGGGCTGTGCTTCGTGGAGGCCAAGCGGAGACACCTCACCGCGGCCAGCGCATCGGCGGCCATCTGGCGCGTGATCGCGGGGCTCGCCGAGCAGGGGCGGGCGCTCCGTGACGCCCACGGCTGGGTGCGCGGCGCGCGGGAGTACGCGGCGGCGCGCGCGGTGACGGTGGCGGGTTCACCGAAGCTGGGCGTGTACGCGGCGGCGGATCTCGGCGCGACGTGGGGGGGTCGGCCCCGGAAGGTGGAGATAGCGTCGGTGGAGCGGACGGGCGCGCTGGCGCTGGCGGAGAGCGGCCGCCGTGGCGACCGGGACGGCGGCGGCATCGAGGTCGGGGTGGCGCTGCCGCGCGCGGAGATGGAGGCGTTCCGCGCGTTCCACGTCGAGCTGGTCCGGCTGCTAGACGCCACTACCCACTAGTGCTGAGTGGTGACGCGGCCTCCCCCTTGCCGCCAGTGTAAAAAAATCGTGCCATTATTCCCTCTGCTTCGGTGTTTCTGGAACTGGGACCAGTCCTTTGCCTTCTGCTGTTTCTGTTTGCCAGTTGCCATGTGTCCGTAGTAGACTAGTAGTACGGTTCGTCTACTCCCTCCGTTATTAAAAAAACAAATCATGAGTTTTCGTATCCAACGTTTGACTGTTTATCTTATATAAATTTTTTTATAATTAGTATTTTCATTATTGTTAGATGATAAAACATGATTAATACTTTATACGTGACTGTCTTTTTAATTTTTTTCTTAATTTTTTACAAATAAGACGGACGATCAAACACTGGACACGGAAACCTAGGGTTTGTCTTTTTTTTTGGACGGAAGGAGTATTACTCTACTACTCCATTAGTCCCATAATATAATGTAGGAACTTAATACCGGATGTGATATTTCATAGTATAATGAATCTAGACACCCTCCTGTCCAGATTTGTTGTACTATAAAATATCCCATCCGGTATTAGATTGCTATATTATGAGACGGAAGGAGTACTAGTTACTCCCGTTCTAGAATATATTTTAAAGACCTGCTTGGGAGCAATCAAAAAAATATTGACTTGTAATTTTATTTCGCCCGTAATTGTCGGGCACCAAAAATAAAGTGAAATTAAAACCCGTGCATTCATGGTGTTTGGGAAGGAACATCAAGAAGTTCGAATTCTGATTTGACGAAATAGGGTATCTTACGAATTCAATCAATGGATCAAATCAGCATGACCAATCGAGGAATCAAATCTGAACAAACAATTTAGACCAAAACATCAAACAGAAATCGATTGGAAAAAAACAACAAAATTGATCCGATCCTGAATAAAAATGAGCTGTTCGTGCATTATTCATCAAACAGTTCCGAGCACAACATGAAAGAGAAAAACAACAGAGAGATTGATGAGAAATATTGGGCAAAATTATCAAAACGATATACACTGATCTCTTCTCACTACCCCCAACGAGAAATTTAGAAGAAGCAGAAGCTGTACTCAGATTGAAAGCTGTACTTAACGAGAAATCAAATCAAGGGCCTCTTTGAAGAGTTTCTGTCAGCTGTAGCTTTTTCCGAAATCAGAAGCTCATCAAAACAGTTTAGCTTTTCGTTTAGATTCTAAGAAACTGTGGTTGTTGAATCCAGAAAATAAACTAGAGTTAGGAAACTCAGTTTTTTCATATTCTCAAAATCTGGCTATGAACGGAGGTATTTTTATAAGACCCAAGACTACATCTAGAAGTAGGTCGTTTCAATTTGGAGAGAGCTGATGCCAACAGCATGCACTGAGGTTGCGATGACGCCAGAAACTGTGAAGATGTCGGTCGCATGTGAGGGTGAGACGGTGCCGGAAATGCAGATCGACAGTAGGGGCTGATCTACAGTAGAATGGTCGGTGTCAGGCGACACTGACGACTTTCGGCAAAATCTATAGCAAAACTGTTTATCTATATGTTATAACACCATGATCTAAATATAATTAGCATACTGTGACACCGATAGATATGTTATGATACCAATTCTCTGATCCGCCACTGATCGGCAGTCGAGAAGATGTTGTAGATGCAGATCGAGACTGACACCATGACGAGAAGAGGAGGCCAACGACCTGGACGGATTCCGGCCGACCCACAGGGCAAGGTCGTAGCGGCGGTGCATGGAGACGGAGCTAAGTTCACGGTGGCGGCGCGTGGAGCCGGAGTTGAGTTCACGGGGACAACATGTGGAGCTAGGTGGAGCGGACTGCGGAGTACGGCTGAAGCTGAGAACAAGCCCGACTTTCGTCGTTTTCTAGTGTGATTGATAGGAGATAATCTATTTCCCGGTGTAATGGGCCTCTACGAACGAATTTCAATCTGACATCCGGCCCATCCAAGCGCGCAATTTCAGTCCGGCTCAACAAATTTTATGGGCCTGTGAATTACACCTGTTTTGGACCAAATACAAGCCTTCCAAGGAGGTTCTAACTTCAACCTTCAAAATATATTTTTTTCTCAATCGATCACAATATTTTTATCATTCAAATTCCACATTTAGATTTTTCTTCTCAACTAATCATAACATTCTTCTATTTAATTCCTTCAACTTTCTTGATACTCATATGGAACCTAAAACTCGTATATGTTTTGGAAGGTATTTGAAGGCGGAGGAAGGTGACGAGGAGCGGATGCTACGAGGTAGGTTTGGGAGAAATCGAAACGCAAGTGGAGATTGGATAGATACTTGAGCTAGAGAGATCAGCAAAATGGTCGGGAAGAAGAATACAGACTCTAGAGTAAGAGCGGGGATGGCCATCCAAACTACTCCCCTCCGTTTCACAATGTAAGTCATTCTAGCATTTTTCACATTCATATTAATGTTAATGAATCTAGACATATATATCTATCTAGAATCATTAATATCAATACGAATGTGGGAAATACTAGAATGACTTACATTATGAAATGGAGGAAGGAGTTGGGTTTGCTCAGGTGCACAACTAACAGCATTATCAATATTTCGTTCAACCAAATATGTTTCTTAGGCCTTTTTTAGAACGCAAGAATTTCATAGACATTTTATAGTATTTTTCACGAGAACAATTCAGTTCCCCGGAATTCACAAACAAAAGGCTCACCTTCGGAAGGTGGCCTTGACCATTAAAAATTTTAACGTTCAAAACAGTAAGTTTACCTGCAGCAAGCTTTGTAGTTACAGTGTCTCAATTTCAATAAGTTTACCAGGCCACGATTTCTCCTCTCAGGGCCCACAGGAAACAAACGGCAAGATCTAAAACCCTACAATCTAAGTTGCCTTAGCATTACTACATGTACTGGCGGTAGTTATCATATCAACTTAACAACTTTAGGGTTTTTGAAATTTGCCATGCACCCAAACCCGTTGCATCTTCTTCCCCTTTTTTCTATTCACTGATATGACACAACAATACCCCAGTTCCAACTGCACAATGATAGGCAAATGCAAGTCAATGGTTTCATAAGTTACAGACATACAAGGAAACTGGACCAAAGCACCAATGACACAAACTGAAATTTTTACATTTTTGGTCCTTTTTTAAAACTTATTTTACAAATGGCCCCTTGAAAAACTTATTACAGGAATGATCCTTTCTGGTGCACCAGAGTGGCTGGCGCCGTACTCCAACATGGCGGCGCCAGCCACCCTGGCGCCGTGACCGTGCCACCGTGGCACAAGGGCGAGCGTGGAGAGGGTGACGTGGCAAAGGGGGGCGCCAACCACACTGGCGCCGCCCCTCATACCACGGCGCCAGCGTGCCTGGCGCACTCCTCCTAGGTAGGGGCCAAGCCCTAACCTTCTGCCTCGGGCGGGAAGCTGGCACCGCAACCACCCCCCCCCCCCCAAGCACGGCGCCAGGTTGGCTGGCGCCGCCCCTCCCCCCTTCCCACCCTCGAGGCCTTCTGCCTCGGCCGAATTGCTGGCGCAGCCCCCCGAAGCACGGCGCAAGCGTGCTTGGCGCCGTCCCCCCCAACCCGTAGACCTTCTGCCTCGAGCGGGTGGCTGGTGCCGCCCCCCATAGCACGGTGCCAGCAACCCTCCCACCCCTGAGGCTTTCTGCCTCGGCCGATTTGCTGGTGTTGCCCCCCCAGCACGACGTCAGGGTAGCTGGCGCCGACCTCTACCTCCCTGCCAACAACAAATTTCATTGGACAGTCTGCAAAAAATGCAAATATCGACAAAACAGGTTCCACAGCAAATATTGACACCAAATCACATATCGCATAGTCCACAAGCTAACTAGATTGACGAAAAAAGTCCACAACTCCATCACACATTCCACACATCAAACAATACTACAAGTCCATCACATACTTCATACAACCAACAAATCCAAAAGTCTGTGAAACAAGTTAACACATGATACAAAGATCAACTTCGTAGAAATCACTTTTTCCGTTGGCGCCGAATAGCTTGCAAGCCCTGAGTATATCTACATTTGAAAAACCAAAGTTTAGAACATTTAAAAAACAAAGTGAGGGAAATCAAGTAACACTTGAGAATGGTAAGCTCATTTTACCTCTTTTTCGCTGGCCGAGTGGATCGTAAGTTGTATTGGGTAGGCTGTGACGCATGAGGCGCATCGGGAAGTTGCGACATGCCTATCTCCTCGACGTCTGGTGTGATGTAGCCCTCATCCTCCTCCTCATCGTCGCCGCTAGGTGGAGCCTGTGCCTTCCCCTTTCCCCTTCCCTGTGGAATGCGTGACGATGACAAACCACCAACTTGTTCACGCTCTTCTATCCTGATGGAGTGTCGAGCGGTACTTGGACGCACGGATTAAGGTAGTGGTAGTGATACTCTCCGCAGTTGGTACACGTCGTCCAATCCAACGGACCTGCAACCTAATCTTGCAGCAAGTTTGCGGCACCTTTGGCTAACTTTTTGAATTAAAAAAAAAAGAAGTTTGTTATGTATAAGTCAAGTAATGCATAGAGTTAAATCATTTTTACCTCTAAGACATTGCGAAGTTTGTTCTCCGTATCCTTACCACCCCTTGGAGATCGGAGGGCATGCCCCATTTCATTCACACTCCTAAGAAGCTCTCTGGACTAACAGCGTGAGAAGATGTATGTTAGGGTTTAGGGTGCAAATAAAAATCACTGTGACAAATGCAAGAAAACTTACGACTCTGTCTCTAAGTGGGGCGTGCTCCATTTGATATCCAACCCTAGTCCGAACGTCGTAGGGATGCCGCCCCTCATCAGAGTCGTGGTCTTCCTCTATGTCGGCTTCCGTCCAAGTAGGGCGTAGGAACAGTCTATATGTCCTATGCAGCCAACGAAGGTACTCAGTAAAAAGATGATTTTGGTGTATTGCCTCGATGTACCTATCATTCTCCCGCTGTCCTCCATTCATCAATGGATCTATTATGCTCTAGCACCCAGTCCTTCACCTTCTTTGTTCTCACCCTGTCGTACCTTCACAAGTGGAAGGTGATGATATGTAAAATAGGGTCAAATGGTGCAAAATTGAACATTGACAATGAAAGCAAGCAAAGATAAAAAATATTACTTGTGTAGATCAACTCCAGTTGAGATGTCCTCAACAAGACATTCTTGTCTCTTCCCGAACTATCGCATGACACGGTGCGGAAGGTGGTATTCAACTGCCAAAAACAAATCAATTGGCACTAGTACATGAAGTAATCGGAGTCTCGATTGCATAACGAGTTCAGTGTAAGACTTGTAGCCTCAGTGGTGTGGTATGGTAACCACTCAATCTATAAATGTTGAATAGTTGTCGTAGGTTAGTATCTCAATCATAGAAGTAAATGACGAATTAGAAGTGATAGTAAAGTACTTATATGTGCAGGCAGTCCATCTCGTTGATGTACTGCTTGTATGCGATATCCCGGTGAGCATGTGCAGTGGCTATACTCTCAAACAGGTAGGCCACTGTCTTCTCTATATATGGCTCATTGTAGGGCCAAGGGGTAAAGATTTGCCTCCACTTAGGCCTGCCAACCGGTAGTCTTAGCCACATCCACATCTGAATCACCAGCACACAACCACTAATGTTGGATGATGGTGCCTGGCAACAACAGGCCTCGAAGAGCTGTCTATAAGTCCATGCCAACACCGTTGGAGCCCCAACTAAAACGGCCCAGATCATCAAGGTTAGTGACCAAAGAAATCCAAATTGCCGAAGCAATGTCACCCCCAGCATCTAGAAAAAGAACCCCTCCCAATAAGTGCAAGATGTATACACGGGCATAGCACTCAACACGCCATGGCTCAACGTCGTCGTCCAGGTCTGAAAAGTTCTGGCTAAGCCAAGAGACGGGTATTCCGTTATGCTTCTTCTTGCTCCCTTATCCCTGCTCAATGTTGAGTGCAATGCCAAACAACTGCTCCACTTGTGCACGCCATCCAGGATTCTCTGTCTTGCCCGTCACCCCATGTCCCTGTATTGGGAGGGCCAAGATCATAGCCACATCTTGAAGAGTGATGGTCATCTCACCACTCACCACTGGAGAGGTGGAAGCTAAGGTCACGAGTGAAAGAAGTTCTTCACCTAAACAAGTCTCCTCATTACATTAAGAATAATTTTGTGACATATTCTTCTCGTCGTTGAGGGGGTGCAAGTAAGACTGAGTTGGTACGAGAAGACTTGGATGGGCAAGGATAGAAGACGAGACCTTTGTTTGGCAATGCTTCGGAATTGCACATATGGGGACCATGCGGGGATCTTGGCCCTCCCAATACGGGGACATGCGGTGACGGGCAAGACATGGAATCATAGATGACGTGTACAAGTAGAGCAGTTGTTTGGCATTGCACTCAACATTGAGCAGGGGCAAGGGAGCAATAAGAAGCAGAACGGAATACCCCTCTCTTGACTTAGCCAGAACTTTTCATACCTAGACAACAACGCTGAGCCATGGCGTGTTGAGTGCTATGCCCGTGCATACATATTGCACTTGTTGGGAGGGGTTCTTTTTCTAGATGTTGGGGGTGACATTGCTTCGGCAATTTGGATTTCTTTGGTCACTAAACTTGATGATCTGGGCCGTTTTAGTTGGGGCTCAGCGGTGTTGGCATGGACTTATAGACAGCTCTTCGAGGCCTGTTGTCGCCAGGCACCATCATCCAACATTAGTGGTTGTGTGCTGGTGATTCAGATGTGGATGTGGCTAAGACTACCGGTTGGCAAGCCTAAGTGGAGGCAAAGCTTTACCCTTTGGCCCTACAATGAGCCAGACATGGAGAAGACAGTGGCCTACCTATTTGAGAGTATAGCCACTGCACATGCTCACCGGGACGTCGCATACAAGCAGTACATCAACGTGATGGACTGCCTACAGCCTACACATATAAGTACTTCCACTATCACTTCTAATTCGTCATTTACTTATATGATTGAAATACTAACCTACGACAACTCTTCAACATTTATAGATTGAGTGGTTACCATACCACACCACTGAGGCTACAAGTCTTACACTGATCTCGTTGTGCAATCGAGGCTCCGATTACTTCATGTACCAGTGCCAATTGATTTGTTTCTGGGCAGTTGAGTACCACCTTCCGTACCATGTCATGCGATAGTTTGGGAAGAGACAAGAATGTCTTGTTAAGGACATCTCAACTAGAGTTGATCTACACAAGTAATATTTTTTATCTCTGCTTGCTTTCATTGTCAATGTTCAATTTTGCACCATTTGACCCTTATTTGACACATCATCACCTTCCATTTGTCAAGGTACGACAGGGTGAGAACAAAGAAGGTGAAGGACTGGGTGCTAGAGTATAACAGATCCATTGATGAATGGAGGACAGCGGAAAGGAACGATAGGTACATCGAGGCAATACAGCAAAATCATCTTTTTACTGAGTACGTTCGTTGGCTGCATAGGACATATAAACTGTTCCTACGCCCTACTTGGACGGAAGCCAATATAGAGGAAGACCGCGACTCTGATGAGGGGCGACATCCCTACGACGTTCGGACTAGGGTTGGATATCAAATGGAGCACGCCCCACTTAGAGACAGAGTCGTAAGTTTTCTTGCATTTGTCAAAATGATTTCCATTTGCACCCTAAACCCTAATATACATCTTCTCATGCTTTTAGTCCAGAGAGCTCCTTAGGAGTATGAATTAAATGGGACATGCCCTCTGATCTCCAAGGGGTGGTGAAGATACGGAGAACACACTTCGCAATGTCTTAGAGGTAAAAATGATTTAACACTTTGCATTACTTGACTTATGCCTAACAAACTTCTATTTTTTTAATTCAAAAAGTTCGCCAAAGGTGCCGCAAACTTGCTGCAAGATTAGGTTACAGGTCGGTTGGATTGGACGACGTGTACCAACCGCGGAGAGTACCACCACCACTACCTCAATCCGTGTGTCCAAGTACTGCTCGACACTCCATCAGGATAGAAGAGCGTGAACAAGTTGGTGGTTCGTCGTCGTCACGCATTCCACAGGGAAGGGGAAAGGGGAAGGCACAGGCTCCACCTAGCGGCGACGACGAGGAGGAGGAGGAGGAGGAGGATGAGGGCTACATCGCACCAGACGCCGAGGAGATAGGCATGTCGCAGTCTCCGATGCACCTCATGCATCACAGCCCACCCAATACAACTTGTGATCCACTCGGCCAGCGAAAAAGAGGTAAAATGAGCTTACCATTCTCAAGTGTTATTTGATTTCCCTCACTTTGTTTTTTAAATGTTTTAAACATTGGTTTTTCAAATGTAGATACACTCCGGGCTCACAAGCTATTCGGCGCCAACGGAAAAAGTGATTTCTATGAAGTTGATCTATGTGTCATATGTTAACTTGTTTCACGGACTTTTGGACTTGTTGGTTGTATGAAGTACGTGATGGATTTGTAGTATTGTTTGATGTGTGGAATATGTGATGGAGTTGTGGACTTGTGGACTTTTTTCGTCAATCTAGTTATCTTGTGGACTATGTGATATGTGATTTGGTGTCAATATTTGCTGTGTAACCTGTTTTGTGATATGTATGTTTACTGTGATTTGGTGTCGATATTTGCATTGTTTGCAAACTGTCCAAATGAAATTTGAAGTTGGCAGGGAGGAAGAGGTCGGCGCCAGCCACCCTGGCGCCGTGCTAGGGGGCGGCGCCAGCAAATCGATCGAGGCAGAAGGCCTCGGGGGGTGGTGGGCGGCGCTAGTCACCCTTGTGTCGTGCTATAGGGGGCAGCGCCATCCACCCGCCCAAGGCAGAAGATCTACGGGTTGGGGGAGCAGCGCCAAGCACGCTGGTGCCATGCTTCGAGGGGCAGCGCCAGCAATTCGGCCGAGGCAGAAGTCCTCGGGGGTGGGTGGGGGGGCGGCGCCAGCCAACCTGGCGCTGTGCTTGGGGTGTGTGGCGCCAACCTCCCGCCTAAGGCAGAAGGTTAGAGCTTGGCCCCCTAGGAGGGGTGCGCCAGGGTGACTGGCGCCATGGTATGAGGGGCGGCGCCAAAGTGGCTGGCGCCCCCATTTGCCACGTCACCCCTTCAACGCTTGCCCTTGTGCCAAGGTGGCACGGTCACGGTGCCAGGGTGGCTAGCGCCGCTATGTTGGAGTACGGCGCCAGCCACTCTGGTGCACCAAAAAGGACCACTCCCGGAATAAGTTTTTCCAGGGGTCCATTTATAAAATAAGTTTTCGAAAAGGACAAAAATGTAAAAATTTCAGATGACTCAAATATACAGAAGCCTGAAATATATCTCATGATTTTAATCATATATAGCTGGATTATTTTGGAGCGAAACAGAAATTATGATACATTGGTTTGGTACAAAGTAATTTTAATAGTGATAAGAGCAATTCTGATGCATTTATTATGATCTGCACAGAAGTTCTAACAAGGAACGAAACAATCGACTAAGGCATACATCTTTAATTCATAAAATATTGAATGCTACCATGAGGGGCACATGCAGGGGCAAAGAAAGGTGGAAAGTAACTAGAAAACTGAGAACATGTCAAAACAATCCGAGTTACCTCTAGTAGTCCAGAGGCATGAAAGAGTTCTCTCACTGTATCTAATGTGAAGAAGTATGAAAGGGTGCCATCTGAGCGCATGTATTCCCGGAATCCCACTCTTTGGTGAGGTAAAAACCGAAGCATTGTCATGTCATAGAGTCCTAATACAATAAAGAGATGTCAGCAAGATTATTGATCAATGATATATAATACAATAGTATGGCCAGGGCATTACCGTAGTCCCTAAACAAAACAAGGCCACCTGGTTTTAGAACAGATACACAACGCTCTAGTGTAGCTAGCATATTGTCAAAAGGTATGGCTGATAATGTGAATATCTGAAAAGCGTACATACAAACTTGATGTAAACAAGAGCATAAATAGTGGAGGTTTGACTTTTACAATATACATTCAGAACTCACAGCATGGCAACATTATAATGCTAATGGAAGTGCTTTGACAAAAAATAGGGTAAAGATAGTGCTACCAACCATAGTGATAAAATCCACACCATCAACACAACATGGATTGTCTCTGAGAAAGGCAGGGTATTCTTCTATCATATTACAATTACTTGAGCCTGAAAGGAAAAGGTACCATCGAATCAAACATTATTGGAGTAGATAATTCGGGTAAAAGAAAATTTCAAAACAATTAATTAAACTAGTAAAAGGTCAACATCCTTCGCACATGGACTTCGACAGGATTTGCAGAACAACCAATCTGGAAAAGTTTCCTTCGAAGCATCCAGTAAAAAAGGATGGAACCTATCCTTGACTTCAACTCCTTTTGTGCTGCAAACAATCTCATTTGCCTTCTCCAGAGTTTCTTTGCTACAATCACAAGCATATACAGTTGTGCTTGGACTAGAGCTGTAGAAAGAGTAGATAGCAACGATGTCATCATTAGTAGTTATGACGAGGCAATCACTTAAACCATGAACTACATAAACTTCAAGTTATGGCAAGCACGTTCAACTCTGAAGTTTATCTGCAACTTCCATCCCATATATGTATGCTCCTAAAAGGTTGTATATAGCGGTAATTCTATTCTTTTTGCTCTCGCCCAATTATAAATACATAATTAGAGTATCATGCCATAAGTGTTAATCCATAAAGTGCTTGAGTTGCATATTCATCGCTAATTGAAAGTTGATCCAATATGCATCACTTCAATGAAGATATTACAATGATTGTTCATAGCATTATTGAGCTATCCAGTTTGCGATAAAATTCCTTAATAAATACATCACTAGTACTGATTAAAGCACCATGCACAGAACAGAATGTTGGAAAAGTGGCAAACCAAAAATAGTCTTTTCAGGGGAAAAATAAAAAAGAATGAAATTTAACAAGTTTTCTAGTTAACAAAAAGTATGATATAGTAAACTGAAATCATCAGATGTTACAAACAAAGAAAGAAAAGAAAGACAGAAAATTTTACATTCCAGGATTATGTATAACTTCAGAAGCAGAAGAAATTGAAAGGAGAAGTATTTGTTGATGCTGGGTGTCAACAGTTTTCAAATGCCCATAGGCAAAAGTATTCTTTATCCTCAAAGATGCATGAACTTGACAAATCCAAAGTTCCAAACCAACTCTGAGCTAGAAAGCATAATAGTTAAACAGTACAGAACTGGCAGTTAAACAAGGAAAAAATTCAGAACCAGACTACATCAGCTGCATGCCAATGGCAACGAGCGATTAAAAGCATCTCATGGAGATCGCTTGATTTGCTTTGATATTATGCTGGATCGGTGGAGATTGAAGTATACTTCATGGACTTTGTGCTGGATTGGATGATTTCTTAAGTGAGAAATATGCACATGCCTAACATGGAAATGGAATTCCAAGAAGTCTAAGCAAAAAGCAAGAAATCACTTTTGTTTGTATTGGGTACAATTCTTTTATGCAGCACGTTGGCAGGTAAGAAATGTCACGAGAATATGTGTCTGACCAGCATACTGGCAATTTGACTAGCAAACTAGTGACCATTAGCTGTTTAATCACCAGTGTGCGTGTTAAAAAGTGCATGTTGTTTTTTTTCTCTTTTTATTTTGTCTAGATTATTTACTTTGATAACCAAAGTACCAAATATATTTGCGGCTATAATCCTACATCAATGTTTAATTACTCTATAACAAAAAAAATAAGCATTGAACGATTTGCATTTGCAACTACAAATAGATATTTTTTTACTAAATACAACAATGCTTTGGAGGACATTACCGTAAAATGGGAACAACAGTGCTTCCATTCCCACAACCCACCTCTAAAACCTTTGCACTATCCTTGCTGTTAAGAAGTTCTGGAAATTCCTTTAGCAAATACCTTCTTTCCTAACAAAATGAGATGATCAGGTTAGTTACTTGTTTCCTTAAAAGTACTTATTTGTTTCCTTAAAATTTAGTTATAGTGTCTTACTACATCAATTCATATTATCCTTACCTATTCACAGAAAAAGTCTAGGTCACATTTTCTTGATATCATTGTACCCAAGCACAATAGCAGCAAACTGTGGAAAATGTGGAGAAAAACACTAGATCACCTAACACAAAGGAAACACGATTGATGTAAATAGCAACCCTGTGGTATGAGTTACTAGTGTAGGACTCAAAGAGTCAAAACTCATACGAACAAGATGCTGCGCTGCGAAGAGGTCCACAAGGCCCGTAATATCCATCATGATATATGCCCCTCAAGCCATGAATAACATGGGAGAATAAACAGAGCAGCATATTATTCCAAACCATCATCTCCGATTGGACGATCTGGTAACAAATGTATGGAATTTATTACAGGCCATCGTGTCGATCTATGCAAGGGATTGCATTACCATGGGGAGTTCCGTTCTAATTTCATGCCTCGAGAAACAGTGGAACACGGTGGCACTGTCATTCCCTCGATCTCCTGCCTACCTAGCTCACATCACAACAACAACAACGCAGCTTCAACAAGTGTGGAGGACTGGAGGTCTCCACGACGAAGAACATCTATCTCGCACAATAGAAATCCTAATTCCTAACGATTTGCGCAGTCCGGAAAAAAAAAGTAGACGACAGATCTGCGCAGGGTAACAGGGAGGAGAGCGGAGATTGAAACCTTGAAAAACTTGCCGCATGTGTGGCGACGGTGGAAGCTCGTCCAGGCCTCCGAGGGCGGCGGCGGCGGCGGCGTCTCCGGGGTGCCGACGGTCGTGGGAAATGGGGAGAGGTGGTAGGAGAAGGCAGGGTTGGCTTCCACCTCCGCCCGGAGGTCCTCCCACTCGAAGTCGTGGCAGTGGTACTCCTCCGCCTCCGCCGCGCGCTCGCCGCCTCCTTCCATGGTCGAAACTCGCAGGCACGGCTTCCTCCCCGCCCTTACTTATGTCCGACTGGCTTGGATACTGGAAATTCGCCTCAGCCGGAGGCGGCAAAGCGGCGGGGCGGGGAGGTAGCACTGGGAAGAGAGGGTGGCGGCGGAGGTGACTACGGCGAGCGGCGGCGGCGGCGGAGGGTGGTTTCACTTCAGTAGTGGGCCGGTAGTGGGCTGGTCCGAGCGGAAAGAAGCGGAATAGCAGCCGTGTCCTGTCGTTGCTGACCATCGAGCTTCGCTTCTTGCCGGCTTCATTCTTACACGTTGCCAAAGAATTACATCATGAGGTAGTGATTTGTTTCTTATAAAAAAAAATGAAATCTTTCACATGTTTATATCATTGTCGTGAGCCTTAATTTTTTTAAGATAGCCATGAAAAAAAACCTATTCTGAAAATTGTAAGAGTGATTTAAAAAAAACAAAAATGGAGCTAGAAATCTTTAAACATAATAGGCTTGTTCGGTAGACCATTGTTGCAGCGTTCTAGCCTATGTTATACATTCTAGCCATTCAGCTACACAGACACACAGCTGCAAGAAGCAACTGCTCAATACTGGATGGAAGCAACTCATGTAACTGCTGGCTAGCTGGCTACAGCACAGCCGCAACGCTACTGCAACTATATCATCCGAACAAAGCCAATATAATGTGAGGGTATATATTAAAATAAAAAAAAATAGGAGTTGTTTAATTTCTAAGGCCTTATTCGGTTGTACACTTTAAGCACTCTTATCAATTATCTTAGGCTTCATAACCACTAATTTAACTGGTTTTTTAACTAAGAATTGCTTAATCCTTTGCAGGTTGTTCACTTTGTTACCAACTTCACTTTCAAATTTGGTAGGGCAACAAAATAAACACATTCTTAATATTGATATTTTATCAAATTTCAAAAGTTCACTCTTAAAAACTTTAAAAACTTTGATAAGACTTTAAGAACACATGGCTAGTGTCAAGGATAAGGCATACCTCTTATACATGGGTTCGTGATATACAAAAATACTATATATCTAATAGTATATGAGAAGATATACTTTGATTAAGAAAATACGGCGGATAAAGAAGGAAATTATCTTCCTGAAATAAAAGGTGTTAGAATCCTAGTTGGGGAAGATAAGGTCTCCTTAGTCTATATCCTGTTATATTTCTTCAAGTTCAACTTAGAGAGGAAAATGATCTTCGCTATAAATACAAGAACCCCTAGGAGAAGAGAGGACAATTCAACGGAATACAAGCCAATACAGAAATAGACAAACCCAATGTAGGAGTTTCAGAGGTCGACATGAGAGATCTAGAGCTATCTCCAATTTCACCGAGTTCATATTCAAGGAAGAAACCTATACTAGCTATCGACTACATGTGAGAGCTCCATGCCTCCAAGCCGACAATGACTAGATTAGATTAGGTCATCCCAAATATTGAACTTGTATGATACTGATATATAAAAGCAACACCGGTTTCAACCAATAGGAGTATGGCTGTTAGTCTATTACCTGCCAGTTAAGGGGTCTGACCCTGTATAAAAATCTCTGTCTTTCGTCTCATATGCCTCAATCTCATGTATACCCTGGTTCCAACGATCATCATACTCTACAAATATCGTCTGCGGGTATAGTCCGTCGACACACATCTAATTCTACCAAATTCGATTTTGTAGGGTTAAAAGTAACAACAAAGTTACACTACTAGAAAAACGATTTTTCATGGCATTGGTATATGATTTTCGCTGGCGGAGAAATGCCAAAACCGCCAGCAAAATTGTAACGAGGGGGTAAGGGGCACCGACCGCCAGCGAAAATGGATCTTCGCTGGCGGTCGCGTTGTACCAGCTGCCAGTGAAGATATGTCTATTTTCGCTGGCGGTCACTTAGGTGTGCCGCCAGCGAAGATGGATAATTTTTGCTAGCGGTTGTGTTATACAGACCGGTAGGGAAAATGCAATTATTTTTTCTGGCGGCCCACTTAAGCAACCACTGGCGGTAGAAGGACCGCTTGCATAGATGGACCATCATCTATTAATATAGACCACGCGGCCCACCACCACCACCACCAGTCCACCACCCACCCGCCCCCTCTCTCCAGCTCCCCTCCCTCCCTTCTCTCCCTCGCGTCTCTCCTCCGTCTCTTCTCCACCGGCGCCGGCGCCATCCATCCTCACTAACTAGCTCCTCCCACCCCATAGTTGGCGGCGGCGGTTTCGGCGTGGCGACGACGACGCGATGCGGGTGCGCGGCAGCGGCGGTAGGCGGGTGGGTGACGGCAGCGGGAGGCGGCGCGGGCGTGGGCGTGGGCGCGGCGGCGCTCGGGAGCGGGCGGCGGCCCGCGGGGAGGCCGGATCCGCCGCCACCGGGCCGCGGGGAGGCGGGATCCGCCACTGTCGACCTTGCTCCGCCGTCGGCTAGATTTGATTTTTTTTTTCTTTTTCTTTTTGCATGTTGTTCCAGATGATGCACATGTTTGGATCTGTGTAGATCATGTTTGATTGTGTAAATGATGTTTGATCTGTGCTGATGATGATTTTGTATTTCGTGTTTGAATTTGGAAATGAGCAGCGAATCTAGATGTAGATTTGAAATTTAAAATTAATGAACTAATGGGTGGCTACATGGGTATTTTCGCTGGCGGCTGGGCAGCTGCATGCGTGTTTTTTTGTTCCCCAAATCCATTTTTGTTGGCGGCCGATTTAACACAGCCGCCAGCAAAAATCCATTTTCGCTGGCAGCCGTCTTAAGCCAACGCCAGCGAAAATGTATTTTTGCTGGCGGTCAATAACCGCTAGCGAAGATCTTGATCTTCACTGGCCTTTGCTTTGTGTCGGCTGCAAATTCCGCCAGCAAAAATCTAAAATGGCCGCCACGAAAAATGGTTTTCGTAGTAGGTTAGCAAGCCCTTGGTTCATATAATAGAATTAGAAATTTTAATACGAGTTTAGCAACAAAGTTAGCAAGCCTGTTGTAACGCATATTTTGATTCCAAAACATCTTCAAGGGCAAACGTTCACCACTGATTTGTCATCTTAAATAGTTATGAAAGCAATATTGTGTGAAAACACATTGAAGTGAGAATTTATTGGTCACCTTTGTAAGTAAATTAATATACTTGTAATTTTATTAGTGTTGGTCAAAATATTCCAAATGTTCTTTTTAAATCAAAATACGTTCTAAATGAGCAGTCAAAATATATACGCTCTAAGTGAACAGAGGCAGTACTTTGTACCTACTTCTATCATGAAACTCCAATAAATTTGACCCAAAATAAAATTTACTTTTTCTAATTTTTAGTAGTCAATTTAGGAGGAAACTCCAAATCGGATGTCCGATTGTGTCAAAGAAAAGGACGGTCAAATATTTCAGTTGACCATCGGTAAAACATTAAGTTATATTTGATAAAAAAAATGAAACATTTAAAAATTTTGTGGAACACAATAAAGACATTGAATCATGTTGCTATCGCGTATGAAACATCGAGTGTTAACAGATTGAAACATATGATTTTTTTTATTAGAATATAATCATGGAATATATATCTGGTTGTAAAAATTGAATTAAAAGAAATACAACGTGTGATTGGACTAGATCGGATAAGTAATTTAGGAGAAAAAAAATTGTTTTGAGCATCATAAATGTATGCATGTATGGATGGATGCAGTGGAGAGAGAGGTGAGAGTAGGGGCAAGTAGCTAGTTGGGTAAATTTTATAAAACATGGTGAAACACACATTGAAAACATGTTGCTATTGCATATGAAATATCGAGTGTTGATGGATTGAAAGATATATTTTTTTTCATCATAATATGATCATGTGATATCTTAATGTAAAGATTTTAATTACAACGAATATAACGGTGTAATCAAATCGTATGTTGGATAAATAATTTAGGAGAAAGATTATTTTGACAAACCTCTCAAAGCAAAAAAATAAGCTCAGGGAAAAAAAGTAAATTAGAGCGAGATACGTATGAATGGAGTGGAAAGAGCAGTTGCTTAATTTGTTATTGGAGCACCCGATAATAATCGAGCGATCGGTATACCGATGGCGAGTATTATCAGTCGATTTTTTTTTGACAGAATTATCAGTCGATTACTTAAGAGTAGTCCAAATCCCGTTCGGAGTCAGCTTATGTCGCGTACGTCGTACGTGTCCAGTTCGGAGTCGGCCTCCAAGACCCTATCCTCAGTATAAAGTTGAATGCATGGACTCTATGGCAATCATGGTGCAACATAGCGGCGACGATTACTTGACAGCAGCCATGGGCTCGTCGCCGCCGCGGCCGCAGATGAAGCGGTCCACTCCGCACATGTTGGTGGCGGCGCTCGTCTTTCTCGTCCTCCTGTTCGTCGCCGGCGCGGCCGTCACGGTACACCACAAGGACCGGCGCCCGATCAGCCCGTCGACTTCACCGGCGGCAGCCGAGAAGATCACCCTGTCGCGCAAGATGCTGCGCGACGACAAGCGAGCTGAAGCGCCAGCCGCGTCGAGCGACGGCGGCGGCGGCCGTAGCGAGCCTCTCCCGAGGGGCATCGTGCAGGGCGAGTCGAACCTGGAGATGGAGTCCATGGTCGGCGACCCGGAGCACGGGCGGCAGAAGGCGTCGAAGAGCCTCCTGGCGATCCCCGTCGGGATCAAGAACAAGGCGGCCGTCGACAAGCTGGTGTCCAAGTTCCCCGCCGAGGAGTTCGCGTTGATGCTGTTCCACTACGACGGCGCGGTCGAGTAGTGGGGCGACCTGGAGTGGCACGGCCGCGCGGTGCACGTGGCGGCGGCGGGGCAGACGAAGTGGTGGTTCGCCAAGCGGTTCCTCCATCCCGACGTGGTGGCCGAGTACGACTACATCTTCCTGTGGGACGAGGACGTCGAGGTCGACGCCTTCGACCCCGCCCGCTACCTCGCCATCGTCAGGAGGGAGGGGCTCGAGGTCTCGCAGCCGGCGCTGGCGCGCGGCTCGGAGATCCACCACGGCATCACCGCCCGACAAACCGTGGCCGGAGGAGGAGGAGAAGGTGGCGACGTGCACCGGCGGTTCTACAGGCGAGCCAGGCCGCGGTGCGACGAGGGCAGCACGGCGCCGCCGTGCACGGGGTGGGTCGAGAGGATGGTGCCGGTGTTCTCCCGCGCGGCGTGGCGGTGCACCTGGGGCATGGTGCAGAACGATCTCGTCCACGGGTGGGGCCTCGACTACAAGCTCGGCTACTGCGCGCAGGGCGACCGGACGATGAAGGTCGGCGTCGTCGACAGCGAGTACGTCATGCACAGGGGCATCCCCTCGCTCGGCGGCGGCGGCGGGTGGTCGGCGTCGGCCGGCCGGATCGCGGTGAGGCGGCGATCCTTCGCCGAGATGCAGATATTCAACCGGAGATGGAAGGAGGCCGTGGCGGCGGACGCGTCCTGGGCCGATCCTTACCCGGAAACCGCTGCTGCTTGAACGACGCCGGCCGGCCGTCTGGCGTGTCTCTGCTTGCATATTCGGAGTTGTACATATTTGTTGTACGATATGATGAGCTTGTCTGATAATATCTCATTTGATTCGTGTGTAACTTGTGTGAGACCAAATCTTGTGAATTTAAAGGGGAAAAAAGCATATTGTTTTCCTGTTCCCTGTGATCCTAGCTTGCTGGTTGCTACGAGCCTCATCCTGCTCATCAGGATATATATCTTTTCAATTTCATGAGATCAATGCATTCATGCTGAATTGTTTGATCACACAGTATCACAAAAATAACTTCATACTGTGAGCACAACTGTTTAACCTCGAATTCAGCCAAGTGCTTTTAACGGCATAGCTACACGGGGCTGAAATTACGGCAGAGCCTCAGCCGAGATATGCAATCTACGCAGCCGCCGTTGATGTCGGATGCTTGACACCGCTGCAAATATCATGGCCCAGCCCAATGATACCAAAACAAATGGTGGGTAAAACAATCGTGCAGGACGATCGTTGGAGGTTTAGGCTTGAGCCTTTGGGACGTATGACCGTCCGTACGAGCAGCAATGGTGTGGTGACGTATTTGGCTCAGCACCTCGGCGGCAGTGAAAAGATAATAAATGGCTAATCCCTAAAACCTGCAATTTCTTATACTTATGTTTATAAGCCAAAATTTGAATTTTAAACTTAATTTTGATTATGATTCTTTGGTTTTTTTTTTCATCATAGTTTATTTTATAGCATTTGCTTTTGAGTCACTAAAGCCACAAGTATAAAAATTTTACTCACAAAAGATTCTTTATTTGCTAATAAGCGAAACAATGGGGCTGTAAAAACACAGTAATTTTTGGCAGGAAACCCCACTATTTCGGAAGCAAATAATACCAATGTTCTATACAACAAATCTCAAAGAATCGATTTAGGCTTGCCCGGTTTGTTTCATGACGGCAGCAAGAGTTAACATGAGTTGACACAGTCAACATTCAGATATCATATATTCTTGAAATGTAACTTCCTCACAAGAAGTGCATGTTCTTGATTTACACTGATATGTGGAAGCCCAGAAATCAAAACAAGAGAATTGCTGGCTACAGGATATGAATTGCAGGATCTACAGAACAACACATAGCATGGAGATAAAAAAAAATCCATATCAAAGCTAATCTAATGAACTGACCTCCACAAGCTTCATTTTCCTATAGCCAGTTCTTTGGTGAGGTCTCTTGTAAGGCTGAGGGCTAATGTGTTGTGCCATGGGAAAAGAGTACGAGTAACGGGAAGTTTCCTTCGAAGATCCTGTGCACATATATAACCAGTAAACACAACTGAGCAGAGGATAGGTAAAAGTAGCAACAAAATTTACTAGCATTATAACTATCATGCAAATTCTTAAATTGTTACTGCCTCCTTGGTGTACCTTGAAGGTTGCATCAGACAAATTCATGTATGATTCCTGTTCACAAGTGAAAAGAATGGCATTACTCATTATGTTAACATATAAGCTTGAATAAACAAATAGGGACAGGTTTCAACCTCAAGTGATGACAAATATTCTGACTCATGATGCCGAATGATGTTAGTTATTGATACTGCACATTCCTCAGGAGACTGAAACACGAGTAATAGCACATGAAAAGAACAGTTAAGGGTTTCGCATTTTTCAGCCTGGTGAAGATTAAAAACAAGCAAAAACAAAGCAAGCAAAATGATGCAAGCATAATGCAGCTCTAAACAAAACATTACGCTTAACATACACAAATGCTCCGGACAAGCACATGCAAAAACTCCAGAACCAAAAAGGAAATGAAATAGGGGCAAAATTTACCCGTGCAATTTTTATATTAAAAAATCTACTCAATCATAAGTTGATCCTTTCAGTTCACCCCAGGAAATAAAAAGGATAAATAAAATTTCAACTTTGTTTGTTTTAACAGTTTGCATCAATAGAATATCGACAACAACTCAAAGTATCAGGCACCAACCCAACACAATTAAGCATAGTGCAGATATAAATTTTTTAAGGTTCTATGAAAATCTATCAGTAACATAAACTGTACTTCATCCATGAATGCAGAGCACATACTTATGCATGCGCAACTAAGTTTACAGGGTATACATGTATATATAATTCTCTAAAACTCAGTAGCAAATCATACCAAAGCAGGAGAAAATTTTCTCCAAAATATATTGAACAGTAGAATGAACTTAGCACGTAAACCTAAAGCAGCAAAACAACAAACGATGAAATAGTGTGTGGATTACTGCACGAGGTCAAAAGAAGCAGATGCCATCAATCGTTCATAACATGCCAGGATAAAAAAAATAGGTATTGTATGAACTAACCTGCAATATGGTGGAATCCTTGCAATCGATGTTAGTATCCAGCTGCACATTTCCCTCTTCAAAATAATGAGCACCTACCTGGTATATGCACATGTATCTTAGTTACCAACTTCAATTACAATAACAATAATTAACCATGTTTTAGCGCTAGCTAAGTAAAAGCAAACCTGTATTTTCCCTTTAATTTCGACAAGCTGTAATCCATCTATGAATTCCAGAGTCCAAATTGAGCGCCAATTGCCGTTGCTGGATGACTCAATACAAAGTTGTCTCCATCAGTGAATAAATAATGAAATGTCAAACTATGACGAGAGGACTTAAGCGACTCTAGTAACAGATTATGTGAAGCAAGGATTCAGCCAAAGCACAATTCTAAACTTTTCTGCATAAAAACTAAAGACACCATAATATTGTGGGAAGATGATAAAGAGGGTACCCACAAAACACATGATTAGTTCAAAGGGAAAATAAAGAATTAAACACTCACAGATGTGCAAACCTATGATCCAGAAGTTGAATATGAAATAGCTTCTCATAGGAATGCCAAAATTTTCTAGAAACCTCAATAAGGATCTAAAATGTATAGAAGAGATACACAAAATGGACATATAAACAAGTTCAAGATTAGAGAAAACTAGGCAAGTATCTGTAACAACAGAGAAAATGCAGACTCAGACAACATACCAAAAGTTTTGTGGGCTGCGTTTAGCAGCAGAAATAACTGCTGCAAAACGAAAATCAACTCCTGGTCCCTCTATATCTTTTCCGCTGGTACAATAAACAGCACACACCCCTTTTGGATAAGCTTCACCAACATATTTGGATAATTCAACATCCAGGGCACTCCTGCACCCATAACAAAAGGTGCAGAACATAAATTGACTAGCAAGGCAATGTGGAGTTCAAGAAATTTGGGGAAAAGAATAGCATAATTATGGTACCTGAAATCTTCAATGTATGCTGAAGGAAGCTCCTCATCAGCAGCTGGCCTCAATTTTGTACATTTCTTTTAACATGTAAAACAAAAAACATGGTGACTTAAATTAAAGCAGACACATCATGTTTCAAATGAACAAAGAAAACTATAGACATTTCAAAAACAAATACTTAACCAAACATCTCAATCTAACCCGGTGTTAGAGAATGAAAGCCATTGTCTAGAGGTAACACAAGTTAATACAAAATGGATTGGGCAGAAACCTGTAATACTAGTTACTGAAGCTTAATACAGCTGCTGCTGGATGTACTATTTGAGGTATAATGAAAAGCTCTTTTACCTACATCTATGCTATTCCATTGAAAATAGGTAACTTAATCTATGTCCAGAAAATTCATAATTATGGTCATAATTTATTCCTCAGTTAACACTGTAAATAAAAAAAGTAGAAACTTGTGGGATCAAACTTTTACATGCAGAGTTCAGTTACAATACTAATCTATGTGGACTATATTCAATGTAACATGTTCTTCAAGAAAGATAGTTCAGTATCAATATCCTGTGATTGGATCCATTTCTCAATTAATATTCATCAAATGAATAAGAATAGTCAAACCATCAAGCTCAAGATACTGTGCATATTAAATTACAGACGTGAAACTGCTTCATATAGTTCATAGACCATAAGTTAAGATGACCATCCATTGTTTAGTAGTTATATATGTTCTCTTACTTTAAAAGATTCTATGTTAAATATGCATAGCTGGCTTAAGAACTAAATCCAGGATAAGCAGATGTAAAGTCTGCAGCATTACCTGTTTAATATGGTCCACTGTAGCAACTTGAGCAGTCCTAGGATCCAGATAATTGTTCTTGTCAAGCTCCCCATAAGTTGTGATAATTATCTGCGCGCGAGGACACATTGTTTTAATGTCTGGCCAGCAAGCACCCACCCTCGAGTGTTAAGGCATCATCCTATAGTCTCATGCTCATAAACATACCAATGAGAAACACCAATAGCTTACTGAATTTAATAAAAGTAAAGTAACAAACACAATAGCCACAAGTGATTTATTAATCACTACCTAAAAGCCAGATTTGCTAAGTCTTAACCGCTGATTTACGAGCTACAACAAGCACAACCCTACAGTAGATAGAACACACTCAATTTCGAGCACGTGAGAACACGCGACGGCAAAAGTCGGCAAGGAGAGGAGATGGCCCAGTGCTCACATCACCGCTGCGGTCAGGGAGCTCGAGGGCCACGAGGTGCGCCTTGTTGTGCTCCGGGAAGGCCTCCGCCGCGGCGGCCTCGTACACCGCCTCGTCCCCCAGCAGCGCTCGCACATCTGCGCGCCCACGCCGAAGAGGAATCAAACAACGAAACACACGGGGCTGTACAGCTTGGATTGCGAGGGTCAGGAAGAGGGGTTGGGGGGATTGCCTTTGGCGACGTAGTGGATCTCGCCGGCGGGGGCGTTGGAGAGGAACCAGACGGCGATCTCCCTCTTCTCCTCACCGTCCGACATTTGGGCGGCCGTGGAGGCTGTGGTGGGTGGGGGGCGGCGATGTCGGGTGCGCGGAGAGGGCAGGAGGGGAGAAGCGAGGGGGCAGTGCGTGCCGCTCTTCGGCCGCACTGGCGAGCTGGCAGTGCTCCTACGACCTAGAGGCAGTGCGGGCGAGCCGGCCGCCGGCGAGGCACCGGCCGCGGTGGGGACGAGCGGTGGGCGGTGCTCCGACGTCCAGATCTGGACGAGAAGAATAGCGGGAAGAGAGCGAGAGGGACGCGAGAGATTGAGAGGTCTCTGCCTCACTGATCGATCTAGTGGTGGACGATGATCGCCGTACCGATCGGACGGACGAGATGGTAGCTTTGGAGTTGATTAACGAAAAGCTCCATATTGATGGCGGATTAATGGGAATGGAAGAACAGATAACGTTAAATTAAAGGCTAAACTGACGTGATGTAAAGCAACCTGTCATATTTTGACCTTTGAATGTGCTTTTACATGCGGTTGAGATTAATGGATTGGAGTTGGAGGACTACTTTGTTGCAGTTTTGCAGGCTTTTTCTGTAAGAAAAGGACGGTGTGTTCGCTGGTTCTGCTTGAGCCTGGAAAACGGGGCAATAACCGTGTTTAGTTCACACCAAAATTGGTAGTTTGGTTGAAATTGGAACCATATGACATAAAAGTTAGAAGTTTATGTGTGTAGGAAAGTTTTAATGTGATGAAAAAGTTGGAACTTTGAAGAATTATTTTGGAACTAAACATGGCCTAACGTGTGATTTATTAAGTATTAGCTAATTTTTTTTAAAAAAAGATTAATTTATTTTTTAAGCTACTTTCGTATAGAAACTTTTTTTTAAAAAAATGCACCGTTTAACAGTTTGAAAAACATGCGCGCGGAAAACGAGAGAAAGGGGTTGGGAAAAGGGGCATTGTTTGAAGGGTTAATTAGATCCATGCCATTAAAATTTTAGCAGTTTTGAAATATAACATTACTATTTGTCTATATTTGTAACGATACCACTGCTACTTGTTTGAAATCTTAGTGGTGTCACTGAGATACGTATTTTGCATGTATTGAATGAAAATGCTCTCATCTTCTACCTCTCTCTCTTCCCCATTTTCTACCCCTCAACTCTTTCCCCTCGCTGCGCCGCTCATTCCATCCCCACCACTCCTAATGCTGCTCGCGATGCCGCCGCTCACCGTCGCTACAGCTCATTGCTGCCGCCGTGGCCCTACTACTGCAGCCACTCGACAATGGCGAGAGAAGATTAGCAAGCGTGCTTAATTAGGGCTTGTTGGGTGGAGTCAGGTACTCAGGTTCACCTTGAGCTTCTGGATTGTGGGCACATCGGTCTTGAATGATTTGGCGAGCACGGCTTCGTCGATGCCAGTGCCGAACACAGTGACCGGCACTGCCACGAGCCCCGCGGCGACGCTGCCGAACGCCGAGAGCGCCATGGCCAACTGGTTCCGCTGTTGCTGCTACCACCGCTCGTCGCCGCGCCGCCGCGTCGATGTTGCTACTGCTACTGCCACCACTCGTCGCCGTGCCGCCTTTTGTTGCAGCTGCTGCCGCCGCGGCCGCCACTGCTGCTGTGCCACGCCGCTGCTGCTGCCGCCGCTCGTCGCCGCACCACCGCATCGATGCTGCTACTGCTGCTGCTGTCGTCGCCGCGCCGCATCTGCTGCTGCTGCCGCCAACGCGCCGCTGAGAAGGAAGAGAGGAGGAAGGAGAAAGGGGAAGAAAGAAGAAGGGAAAAGGGGCAGTTTGGTCTATTTTTTTTCTGGAAATGCATCCAAGAGGTAAGTAGTGGTATCTTTTGAATATGTGTGAAATTACAATGGCATATTTTCAAATACATGAATACTAGTGGTATATTTTAAAACCAGCAAATTTTTAATGGCATGTATCCAATTAACCCTTGTTTGAATCGGGTCAAGGTGTCAAAGTGACTTGGCTAGCAAGGGCCAAGTCGTTCCAAAGGAATTGGAGAAAAAAAAAGATCAACAATGTATGCACACTTCAACCCATAGAAAATTTTCAAGAGGTTTGAGTGGATGAAAACCTTCCTATAGTTTTTCTGTACAACTTGTAGGAAAGGAATTTTTCTTTTGGTTTTTCTATGTCAACATTTTTATGAACCGAACAGCATTTATAGGAATTAATCTTTAGAAATTTAAATTTTTTAAAATTCCTCCAAAACGAATATGTGGAAAATAAAACAAAATGTATTAGATACATCATATGCAATTTATGCATGTTAGCCAGGTTTATCAAATGGTTTTTGCTAGATTTATTGCGCAGGCAAGAGGATTCAAGCGCACGACCTTGAGATTTTTCAGTGCAAAGCTGCTAGCAAATCGGATACCCGCCATTATTTGTTAGTTACATACAAGTTATTGCTGACAGACTATGCCCGCCTATGGTATTCAAAGAGAATGGTGATCGTTGGTGTTAGGGTATACGTGAGATTGAGGTAAAAAAGACATTAGACATGGATTTTTATATAGGTTCGGACCCACTACTTGATGGGTAATAGCCCTGTTCCTGTTGGGCAAAGCCAATGTTGCCTTTGTATATTAATATCTCACGAGTACAGAATATGGGATGACCTAATCTAATCCCTATCGGCCTAGCGGCATGGAGCTCTCACATGTGGTTGATGGCTAGTGTAGTCTTCTTCCTCTAATATGAACTCGGCGAGATTGAAGGTAGCTCTAAATCCCTCATGTCGGTTTTTGTGGCTTCTACATTGGATTTATGTAGATATGCCTTCATTTCGTCCCTCTCTTTCTAGGGGGCCTTGTATTTATACCTTCAGATATCCCCTTGTTTAAGTAGAACTAAGGAATCAACTATCGTATAGATTAGGGGTGAAAACGGCACAGAAATATCCGAGAATTCCGGCTACCGTTTCCGGTTTGCACCGACTGTTTCAGTCGGTATCAGTAATTGTCGGTATCGGAAATGAAAACAGTAATCTCTTCCGAAAATGGTAGTAGAAATGATATGGGCTTTTTTCCGACCGTTTTGTCGGTAACCATTTTTATCGGTAATTTCCGTCAAATTTTCGACAAACTTCTAAAGAAGGAAGCCGGCTGGGCCTGTATAGCTGGAGCAGGAGCAGCCCATTAGGCATTTAGGCTGGGAAGAAAAACCCTAGGGCGTCAGCCGGCGTGTCACTTATCCTTCTCATACTCTCCCTGTCTCGCGACTCTCGCTGTCTCACACTGTCGCACAGCTCTGTGCCGCCTCTACCTCCGGTGACCGCCACCGCCGCAACCACGTGTCCACGCCGCCACACCGCCGCTTGCTAGTCCTAGCCGTCGCATCCTCGCGCCTCGCCGCGTCCCTTGCCGGAGAAGCAAGATGGCACCTGCCGGAGGAAAACGCCGCACCCTTCTGGATCCATCCGACGGCAACAACAGAGACAGAGGAACATTGAGTTCGCCACCGTTGTGTTTGCTAGGTCCACCACCACCACCACCAGGTATAGCCGTATAGGCGTATAGCTTGAATGCTTGAGCATGATTTTTTTACATGTATAGATGAATGCCTGAGCCTTGATGTTTTTTAGCATGATTTTCTGTTGATGTGTGCAAGCACGATTTCTGTAGATGTACAGCTTAATCCTTGAGCATGTTTTTTTTAGATGTATAGCTTGAGCCTTGTGTTAATCGTTAATCACTTCCTCATTTTTTTAAAATCTCAATCTGCTGCATCTGGAAGTGCCAGTGGAAGTCATCATGTGGGTGTGACTGCATCATCATCTACACCTGAATCAGCGGTACCTCCAACCATTGCCACAGGTACCTCACAAACAATTGAGATTGATGCTGATGTTAATAGGGTTGATGACAATGATGAGCGTCCTGTGAAAAGGAAAAAATTGACATCAGAAGTCTGGCAGTACTTCAACAAGGAAAAAGTGAGTATAGATGAGAATGGTAAGATCTATAAACAGGAGTGGGCACATTGCAAATTCAAGAATTGCACTTACAAAGGTAGATGTGAGAGTGCCACTGGAACAAGCGGATTTTGGAGCCATCTGAAATTACATCACAGTGTTGTCAAAGGGCAGCAACAACTCAAAGCTCAGAAGGACCAAGAGAAGGGCATCAACGTTGTTGAACCTTACAAGTATGATGAGGAAGCTAGCTTGAGGAAGTTATATGTGGCAATAATCATGCATGAGTACCCTTTCAATATGGTTGGGCATGAATATTTTCGTGATTTCATTACATCGTTGCGCCCTAACTTTCCATTGAAATCCCGTGTAACAGTTAGAAAAGAAATATTGAGCATCTATATGCAGGAAAGGGATAAGTTGTATGAATATCTCAAAACTGTGAAATGCCGCATTAGTGCGACCATGGATATGTGGACATCCAATCAAAACAAAGGATATATGTGCATCACACTGCATTGGGTTGATGATGATTGGTGTATTCAGAAAAGAATTGTCACCTTTTCCCATGTGGAAGGACGTCATACTGGTGTTAGACTATCTGAGGGTTTTACTACAAGTATGCTGAGATGGTTTGTTGAGAAGAAAATGTTTTCTTTGACTTTGGACAATGCATCTGCAAATGATGTTGCTGTTAAGGATATAATTTGTTGCTGTTAAGGATATAATTTCTGAACTTAAGAAGCACAGTCCCTTAGTATGTATTGGCCTGTTTTTTCATTTTAGATGTGCCTGCCACATACTGAATTTGGTTGCTAAAGATGGTTTGCAAGAAATTGAATCAACAATTGAGAAAATTAAATCCTTTGTCAATGCTGTAAAGGGCTCTCCGTTGCAGTGGGAGGAGTTAATGAAGTGTGCTTCTGAAAGTGGGTTGGACACAACCAAAGGACTATTAAATGATGTTTCTACAAGGTGGAACTCAACCTATCTCATGTTGGCAGATGCTATCTATTATAGGGCTGCTTTTGACAGGCTTACATCCTATGATCGGCGCAGGTATGAGAAAATGTGCCCTTCAGCTGCAGAGTGGGAGAAAGCAATGAAAATTCGCGCATTCTTGAAAAGATTCTTTGATCTTACTGAGCTTTTCTCTGGTACTTTATATCCTACAGCAAACTTGTTTTACAAAGGATTCTGTGACATTAAGATTATACTTACTGATTGGAGTAAGGGCAAGGATTCTGATATTACTATTAGAAGGATGGCAACTGCTATGCTTGCTAAGTTTGACAAATATTGGAATAAGTCTAACACTGCTCTTGCTGTGGCAAGCTTTCTTGATCCTAGATTCAAGATGAGAATAGTACAATTTTGCATGGAGTTCATACACTAG